GCGTGTAGCTGCTCTGTCACTTGGCTGGTTGCTGGGCCTGACCCCCACCTTAAATTCTTAAAGGYAATTTTAACCATGAGAAGGAAAAAAAGTGATGTGCCTACAGAAAAGCCTAAATCAGTTTTGTTAATATCTACTGCTTTTAACTTGAGCAGAATTTTAAAGGATTGTTTTATTTGAAAATAAAGTTAGGATTAGGTTTAGCTGCATATAACAGAAAACAAAACAAGGCAAAGCAAGTGYCTTAGGCAAAATAGAAGTGTGTTTCTCTCTCACCTAAAATAAGCCTAGAGGTAGGCAGTCTAGGGCTGAGATGGTGGTTCTACAGTGCCACCAAAGACCTCACGCACAATGTGGCTGCTAGAGCGCCAGTCTTTCCACCCACATTCTAGGCAGCAAGTGTAAGGAGGAAAGAAGAATGACTTTCTTCTTTTCCTTAAGGAGGAGTCTCGAGAGTCTCACACAGAATTTCTACCTGTAGCTTGTTGGCCAAGAGTTAGTCACATCATGGCACCTGCCCCCAAGGGAGTCAGGCAAATGTAGTCTTTTTAGCAGGATGTGTTGTCTTTCCAAACAAAACTGGGTAGAGAGCAGAATGGATAATGGAGTAGACCACCGACAACCTCTGCCACCTAAAGGATTCTAAAAGACACTGAGAAAGGAAAGTAGATGTATTTTATACAATAGATGTGTTACTAAAGATTCCTGAAAGCATATGGTTATTATTTTGTGCATGGAACCATAATCTGAATACATGGAAGTCCTATCAGGAATAGGCTGGTGAATAACTTTCTGAATTGAAAATACATAAAAATTGTATTTTGATTAATCTATACCTAGTTTTTTGTGTTTTCTTCCTTCAGTGTTCTTGATAGTGGGTCTCACCTTAAAYTGATTTTCTCAAAAGTGGCCAAGAACAAGGTGGCTTTTTAATTCCTGTTGCCTCATCCATACCTCTCATCCACCCCCAATTGCCATCATCATATGTATTTCTCTCTCTCTCACTCTTTCTAACAATCCCACCTCTGTTTTGGGGGCAAAGCAAGATTATTCAAAAGGCAACTGGTGCTTTTTGGAAAATGGGGTATTGCTATGTTGCCTAGGCTRGCTTCAGACTCCCAGGCTCAAGTGATCTTCCCACCTCAGCCTCCCAAGTGGGTGTCCATAGATGTGTGCCACTGTGCCCAGCAACAGGTGGTGCTTCTGGTGTGTCTCAAGGAAGGAGAATAGGGGAGAAAAAAAAWWWTRWGA